GATGCTTCCGTGCTTCATCCCAGTAAGGATCTTCGGGAGGAGCCTGCTCAAGCGCTTCTAGACTTTCGGCTCCATCAGAGCCAGCCTGTGCTTCGGAACAAGTCTGGGAGTCGGCGGCTGATGGTGACGTCGTTGAGTTGGCTGCTGTAGAGGACAATGCTAGCTCCAGTAACTCTTCCCGCGGGAGACTCGCCAGGGACTCCAGATTTTTTGTCCCATAAAGCTTTGTCAGAATTGTCTTGTACAACTCCAGAGTGTTAGAGAGCTTGTCAACTAGTCTACCAAACTTTGTTAACGTAGCAGGGTCCGTGGGTGGTGCAGAATGCTTACTTCCTGCTGGGCACCACTCTTTGGGCAGGCTTAGAGTAGCCACAGGCCTCAGGATGTTGGTACCATTGGCACTGCCCACATGGCTGTGTGCCATCGCAGCGGATCTTGCGTCTCCTGCATTCGACACATGCGTTGCTGGTCGATATCCGCCGAGATCCTGGTGGCCGTGAGGGCTTCGCGGCGTTGTCGCTGTCCCCGCCGGGCGAGCGCACGTTGACTGACGACTGAAAAGTGTGAAACATGTTGGGTTGATGCGGGTGTACCTCGGTTGGTGAAGTGCTCCACGGACCCGGGTTGTGTTGCAAAGTTCAGATACGAAGGATGATACGACCATGAACCTGGGCGTCAGGTCACTCTTAGAGGATGCTCGGTCAAATACGTCGTAAGGAACGGTCTCGGCTTAGAAGACCGATCCAGAGCGATGGTGTAGAGTTTCCGTCGGGATCCAATATAGGAGAACTCAGGGCCAGAAGTAGAGGGGGCGAGATGGATATATCAGAGACGGCGAGTTGTATAGGCTTGCGCAATGCATGTCATGGGCGGGCTGAATAAAATGCTCGGGGACAAAACGAAACTTGGACTGCTCTCGATAGTCAAATGCGTCTTGTCAGAGTGCTGCAGGTGATGCGATGAATCGGCTCGAGGCTAGCGAGTCTCATAGGGCCGGAGCGACAAGATGAGAATCCAGAGTGGAAGTTAGTGAGTGTATAGCCCCCGCATTATAGCACCACTCCCTGTGTGCATGCAGCAGGGCTGACTGGTGGAGGAGAAAAACAGGCGAACGTTGAGACGGGTGGATGGGAGAAATTGTGTCTGAGGAAGCCAAGCGAGATTGGGATGGAGGGCGCCGCCGGCTTCGAGAAGGACTTCAGAAGGCGATGTGCACGAGATTACCGTGTTGAGGATCGAGGGTCATCCAGCAATCCATCTGACTGCGGCAGCACTACTGCGCGTCGTTAGAGCGGTGCGGATCATCCTTCCCGCGACGATTAGGCAGCACGCATCCTCGATCGCCTAGAGTGTTAAGCGTGCCGGCGATTGAGGAAAAAGTGCGGGTGCGGTGGTGGTGTTGGAGATGATGGTGCGGTGCCAACCTAAACCGCATCCCCAACCCCACAAAAACTATTCGGGATAGATGCACCCGGGCCTGTGAGGGGCCTGTCGTCTGTGAAGGGCCCATTACCGGCCGCATACAGGGCGCATACACACGGTCATGCTCGCTACCATTGTCTTCTACCGACATGGCACCAGCCCAAGATACCACCTTCCAGCGCCCGGGTCGCCAGCAGTTGTGGGCCGAACAGGACACCGTCCCCACTCTTGCTCGCTGCATCGGCCTACTGTGTTATGCGCCTGGGTTGCATGTGCTTGCAGCCCTCTACCCAGGCCTATGACCCCACCGGCCAATACCCGACATGCGATTTAATTACCCCTGGACATCCACATTTGCGATGGCCACCATCATATCAGGAGCTTGGCTGGCTACAATGCCATGAGCCCATAACAGCCTTACATATACCCCTCAGCTGAAACTCTACTTGATTAACGTCTTCATGCTCCACAACATGTTTATTTCACTTTTTCGGCTTCTTCTTGGTTTATATTGACGTTAATGCAAACGAGCGTCACAATGTATACGAGACATTTCCCTGCCATCCTAGTCGCTCAACCACTCCTATGTGGAGCGCGTAAGCATGCGCTGTTGATATCTCTAGCGACATGCAGATTGCGTTCGCATACTTCCGGTACGTATGCAGTCGTCTTCCTGACGACTCTGCATGACCAAATCATACTCCCAGCGTCTGCAAATGTCTCCACTGTGCATGTCCTGCATGTCGGCATCTAGTCTTTGCCCAGATACGTCCATCTCAATGGCTTGTCCTGCGGTCCCAAGCCCCTCACCTTGATGATCTGCTCATCTCCAGGGACTAGGTCTATCGCGCTGTCATGTACGAGAACACCCGAGCGCTCCTCGAACACGAGGCCCTTGGTGGGTTTCTGTGCTCTGACGACGATAGTTTCTCCGCGGGGTATGACTTCCACACCGCGGTCGTCAAAGTCGAGGTACTTGAGAGGTTGTGGCCAGTCGACATCTCGGGAGACAATCTCGCCATCAACCCATATGCGTACGGCTAGGACGTGCGGCTGCTCGTTCCGGTTGTCGATCGTACCTGAGAGAACGTCGGTTGTGCCGTTCGGAACGAGCCTGATATCCTTCTTGACGATCTTCTCCTTAATTTCTTTACCGCTCTTGACGCTAATATACCGCAACTCAACGGTCGCTACCACCTCGTCCAACTTCTGGTTCGCAACCCAGACCTCGTAATCGCTGGTTGCCGGCACTCTTGCATGTACCACACTCCAATCAAAGTGCGCTCGTTTGACGGCAACAGCAATGGGAGCAAGGACTCTGCGCATCGCGTAGTATGCCGGCTTCTTGCGCTGGAAGTAATCGACAATAGACCACGAAGTGACTGGCCAACAGTCGTTGAGCTGCCAGACGAGTGCACCACCACAATGCCTGTTTTGACCCCACTGCCGTCGCCAGCCCCGGTAGCCGAACATTAGCGCTTCGGCCTGCGAGAGCTGTGTGAGGTGGATAAAAGACTATTCGCTGTTAGCACCTATACAGCCTATATTACGGCCCACTTGGCTATAGTCCTCGACCATGAACCGGGTATCCGTCGACACGGCACCTACCTCCAGATCCGTCTTGGTGCGGAAGTTTTCCACCAAATACGTCGCTATCCGCCGCTCGTGGCCGTCCGCCTTGTTGTGGAAGTCGATCATGTGGCTTTGCGGGTATAGTTGCGTTGGATCAGTGCACCAGTACCTCACTGTATCAATATGTGGGAATGCCTCCATGCCAAACTCGCTATTGAACCGGCCGCCCAAGGTATCGAAAATTTGATACTTCTCCTGCGTGCCGTGCCATACTAGGCGCATTGTGAGTATACTATATTTGGAGCGACGGGGATATGTTACCATTCCATTGATGCATGTCGCCCACTGTGGGGTTGGAAGTCTTGAGGCCGTCACCCCATGGTGACCCCGGATGATATGGTACATGTGGGCTTTCCGCGGCAACCACATCCGGTAGCAACTAGTGGTTGCAAAAATCCATCAGCGTATTCACACTATGATGGTAGTGGGTGCGCACGTACCTTTTCGTAGATGTATCTAGCAGGGAAGTCAGTCTTGAGCCAGCTCTCCGGGTCCTTGTCGTCGTAATCATAAGTCAAGCCATAGGTTTCCTGGACTTGGTAGTCCTCGTTATTTCCTGCATAGATGATGATGGAAGGATGATGTCGGAGTCGGGTGACGTTGGCGGTGCATTCTTCCTTGATTGATCGCAAGATGTCCGGAAAGGCGGGATAGTTGCCGCAGCCAAACATGAAATCTTGCCACACCAGTACACCAAGCTCGTCGCAGATGTCATAGAAGACGTCTTCTTCCCAAATTCCACCACCCCATATTCTGATCATGATTTGATAGCCATCTACCATGAGCTCGAGCCATCTGCGGTACTGGTCCTCGGTCACTCTAGGAGTAAAGGAGTCTGCCGGAATCCAATCCGAACCACCGCAAAACACATCCACACCATTGACACGAAAATAGAAGCTTTTGCCAATAGCGTCTGGTTCTTGTATAAGCTCACCCTTTCGAAAGCCGGTCCGACGTGACGTCTGATGCAACTTTACATCGTTTGCGAAGAGAGTTGCGGTAACAGTGTAGAGAGGCTGCTCACCGTACCCATGAGGATACCACAGCTTTGGGTTATTGACATGAAAGTCAACCGTGGCTACACCATTGCTAATCTTTGCAGTCTCTTTGAAGACCTGCTTATCTCCATCGAACACATCGAAACTAACACTGTCGGCGGACACTCCTTGAACAGTCGCAGAAACCGTCCCATGCACCGACTTCAGGCCACTCTCAAGCTTGTAGTCGACTCTCAAATCTTCAAATCTTGCCTGATAGGTTTCTAGTCGTACTTCGCGCCATGGCCCGCACGTGTTGAGGATCGGGCCCCAGTCCCAGCCCCAGTGGTACTGAGCCTTTCTTACGGCTAGCCTTGACATGTCGCCATTAAAACCGACCCATTTGTGTTCTGGATACATCTCCTTGATCTTTATGGCTTCTAGGCGCGCAGATGCGAACCCGATCTCCAAAATGTTCTTTTCGCCAAGTCTGAGCTTCTTGGTCACGTCAAGGCGATGTGGAATGAACATGTTGTCGCTTTCGAGAACAGTCTCTCCATTGATTCGGACAGTTGCGAAAGTATCCAAGCCATCAAACGCAAGGACATGCGTGGTGCCTTCATTTGCTTCTTGCACTTGAGGCAACTCGACTTTGTAGGTCCAAGCCTTGTCCGCCACCCATTCTGCGTGAAGCTCATTGAAGCCTAGAAATGGATCTGGAATTCTGAAATGTGTTAGTTTCTTCTAAACCATGCCTCGACTGAAGGTCGAAACGTACTTGCCAGCCTCAATCAAGTCCAGATGAACGTTGGTAGGTACCTTCTTGACAGGCATCCACGCATTCTTGGTCGCATCGTCGGACTGCTTGAATGACCATCCTTCTGACAAGCGATAGCAGCTTAGGGATTGCGATTTCGCCATGATGATTGTAAGTCAAGATGGTGGTGGTCGGCAGAACCCTCTGCTGGCTCTTAAAGGTGCCGGAACTGCCAATTAGCGGGGTAAGTACGACCGGGAACCCTCTTGTTGAATGACGCCAGGAAGGTTCTTTTCTAATACCATATGAGACGATTGACATGGCCGGAGCATGAAGTGCCGCGTTCAGCTCCATCGAGCTGTGTGTAGTACCATGAAACAGTCCCTGAAAGGCATACGGAAGGGACGCTCCGGGTCCAATCTGGCTAGACACGCGCCCGTTATGGGGCCGACGTCGCAAAAAAGCTAGCGGTATCAGCCGTCCGAAGGCCACGCGGTACAGCTAAATGCAGTGGACTGCAAGAGGAGATGTGCCGCTAATTCCGTGTTGTATGGAGTAAGTTAAGGCTGTGCATGCAATGTCGGAGGCTCGATGGGAGTATCCCGGATAGTTCAACCGCCCACATATGGCATGCGTATCGCAGCGTAAAACTTCGCAGTCTTCTATGTACTAGTAGGCTTTGATAGTGCGGACTACCGCAAGGTAAGAGTCTCTAAGGATTGTTAAGCTCCGATCTAATTGAGCTACATGATTGAACAAAAAGTGTTCACCACGCAGCACGTACGCTGTATGCATCACTATTTGATGTCATCATCGGTGTGAGATTTCAAAGTTGGCAAGATGTTCAAGGTTTATTGACAACCAAGACACAGGGTATAGAACTATACAAGCACGAAACAACAGCAACGGAGGTTTCTCCGCAGTCTATACATGGACAAGGGAAGGTGCCAGCCCACTAACAAAAGATGCGTGCCGAAGCTACAGCAGTCAAAACGACAGTAACTGTGAGCAGGGTGCGATCTAATCGGAAGGTGCCAGACGCAGCGTTTCTTCGGAACATGCCGCCACTGGCCTGTTTGAGACCCATTGCGGCTTTTTTGTCGACTTTGCCCTGCTGTGCTAATTGGAGCATCTCCGCTCTACTCGTCGAGAGGATTGTTGTTGAGCGAGCGCCCGGACAGAAGACGACTTCGAATCCGGCTCCAGAAGGGATGATGAAGGTGGAGGTCTGATCATCGAAGGCTATAGCATGTGTTAGCTACGCAGTGTTTGAACCACGAGGGAAGACATACCAAAGCTGTATGCATCTGGGCATACTGATTTTACGTTTTTGGAATACTCGCTCGGCTGACAGGCACTGGGCGAGTTGTATTGGCCAGTGCAACAGTCCTGTGGCTGGTTGTTCTTTGCGCATGCGGAATAGCACGGGTTGAACTGTGGGCGCTGGATGTTGTCGTCTGGGTAAGGATACACGCCATCTCCGGGCTTTTGCGGAGGGGTCTGTTGTAAGTCCCAAGGGCACCATCTGGAGATCTTATTCTCGTCTACATCCTGGTCGAAAGGTAATGGATATGAGGTGTTTGTGCGTAGGAAGCTGGGATACTCTGGGTACGGATTGTAGCCCTGCGGTGCAAGCAGACCGTCTGTACCTTGGCATGATGGATTGGTAAGGTTCGGTGGGATGTCGTCAAGCGTGATGTTCTCGAGCGGCTGGAGGACGATTGCCATGGGTACGTTGTAGCCATCGACCAACGAGATGTCGTAGTATGTGTGTCCGTCTCCGGCATCCAATGTGAACTCGGCAAGCGAGACAGGAACGTCGCCCTGGATATGTCAGCAAAGGCTTGCATGGGACATGGTGGCACATACCCCGACCCGGCAGTTCAAGGCGCCATTGCAGTCGCCAGAGAGACAAGCTTTCCCTTTGCCTGAAGCCGAAGCCGATCCGTCATCGTTGAAGGAACAGTTCGTTCGTCCCCAAACCCGCCCTTGCCAATCTTCTGACACGGTCTGATTCTTGGACTCCCCGGGTTTCAGCTGGAAGCCGTTTTGAGCTGGCCCTGTCCCGGATTGTGTTGAGATGCCGGGCCAAATGTTGTCAGGACATTGGTTCGTGACGAGCAAAGGCGTAATGTCCAGCTTCCTGCGATTGGTCTTCCAGGGTGCCTTTTGAGCCATGTGATGCAACCCATCGGTTAGAGGCAAGCCGGCCAGTAAGAAAAGAACGGTACATAGATGTGCGACCGAGATGCGATTTATAGGCCGGGAGCAGCCATAATTGAACGTGGTGCTAGGCATATTTCAAAAGTGACTGCGCGCGCCGGATGCGCAATCACAATTCAAGGATTCGTGGTTAGAAATAGTTGATACGGTATAAGACGTAAGGATGCAGGCCGTGACTGAGCGTCGTGGTGAAGAGGATTTAGAGAGACTTCAGGGTGGGATCTTTTGAGGTTAAGGCTGGCTGTGAATATGGATGAGGATTGGGGCCTCGGCCCTGCAGCAGAATCAGGGAACATGGCGAAGGATTGGCCAACAATTGCTATGGTGAAGAAGTTGCTACTTGGTGTCAAGCCAGTGACGCAATGAGGTGTGCCTGCCCCTGGTGAACAAGGGTCCAGCAGGGCTGAGATACAGCCTCAGCCTGTCACGGGCGCCCACGCGAGCGTATCCAAGACGGTCGGACCGGCGCGTTAGCGGTATCTGCTATCTTGCATCTTGGAGTGCGGGACCTTGTTTCGGCAGTCTTTTACTGCTCGAGGTGATGAGCCATTAGACGGACGATTGTCTAAGACGGTCAAAATGAGTCATCGAGGTTGCTGTGGATGCCCAACCATCGGACAAGTCATCTGGTCCTGCTGTACACCTAGAGCTCGACATGCTATATTAGACTTTGGTTATCGTATTTTGTGAATATTTAGATAAAGTCCCAGCAGTTAAGAGCCGACTCGTTGTGGATGCTGAAGGAGTGAGGAAAGGAACATGGTTAGCACTAGCCTGTCGCACATACACCCAATATACCGCTTTGCGACAACAGGTCTACAGGAAGATAGTCTTCGCGCCTAACTTTGTAATGTACCCTGAGAGTGGTGGGATTGCGATGTAATCATGTCGTCGTCGCTCCTCGTCGGGGCCGACTTGTTCGCAACCATGGGACACCCAGTGCATCGCCTTGATCCTCAACAGCCAATCACAAAACCTCGGGCACTGGCAAGGCGAAAGGAAATTGCATCTCCTTTCCCAAGGCTGAGATTTCGTGCTGGCGTCTCGGAGACGGGACTCGGAGGTACGAGGCAAAGATGCCGGTCTCGCCACCATTAGCTGAGATCTGCGAGGCGAGTGCGAGTTGTTTTCTTGGCTCTCCTGACACTTGACATTTGCTGATACTGGCTGTTACCACTACATTTACTCTTTGGGCACGCCCACATATTGTCCACTTTCTATTCTGCACCCTTTTACCCTATACGCTCCTTCTTCACGGTACTGGTCTTGTCAGGCGCTTTAGTCTCCTTTCTGCAGGCTTCGATCTTCGGACTCCCGTATCGCCACCGATTCGGCACCTTCCCACGACGGCCTTTGATATCACCCTATTGAAAGCATACTGCTGAATACCCGTCCAGTCGTATTGACCTCGCGCTATACACATCACAGAAATCGCTGCAGAGATAGAAGGCTTCCTGTCTGCCATCACCACAATGCCCGGCCGTACCCTTCCGACGATTCCGACCGCTGAGGTGCGCGCCCACAATAACGAAAAGTCGTGCTATGTCACTATAGGGACCAAAGTCTACGATGTCACCGAATTTCTTGATGGCCATCCTGGTGGCCCCGAGTTTATCCTGGAATACGCCGGCAAGGATGTAGAGGCAATCTTGAAGGACGAGATCTCGCACACACATTCCGACTCTGCCTACGAGATCCTTGAGGAAAATCTGGTTGGTTTCATGGCTACTGAGCCTGTCATCAATGGCGCAGTCAAGAGCTCCAAGCCAGGAGACATTGTCCCATTGCCACCCTCCGAAGAGGGCACCGCAGAACTTAAGGGCATGTCACAGAACGGCAAGCCCCTCTACGCAGCAACCGGCATGTCGTCCGAAGAAGACCTATCAAAAGAGACGGACCCGAACAAGGACTACAAGGAGCACAAATTCTTAGACCTCAGCAAGCCCCTCTTGATGCAGGTCTGGAATGGCGGATTCAGCAAGGACTTTTACTTGGAGCAGGTGCACCGACCGCGTCATTACAAAGGCGGTGACTCTGCGCCATTATTCGGTAACTTTCTGGAGCCGCTGAGCAAGACGCCTTGGTGGGTTGTGCCTTCTCTGTGGTGGCCTTGCATTGCATACGGTACAACAGTGGCTCTCGGTGGGCTACAGTCTGCCCCAGTGCTGGCAGGATACTGGGCCTTCGGGTTGGGCTTTTGGACCATCATAGAGTACGTCCTACACAGGGGTCTGTTCCATCTGGATGAGTAAGTACTCTCCGTCTCCATGCACGCATCAGTTATTAACGCGAAGCAGCCATCTGCCTGACAACCGTGTCGGCATCACCCTCCACTTCCTCCTCCACGGCATTCACCACTACCTCCCCATGGACAAGTATAGACTTGTTATGCCGCCAACGCTTTTCGTTGTTCTGGCAGCGCCGTTCTGGAAGTTTGCCCAAACTGTCATCTTTTGGAATTGGTATGCGGCTTTGGCTGCGTACTGTGGCGGCGTGTTTGGATACACATGCTACGATATGACGCACTACTTTCTTCATCATCAAAAGTATGATTTCCAATCTCCTGTACATTTACCATGCTGACCCTACAGGCTTCCTGAATACTACCAGCAACTGAAGAAGTACCATCTCAAGCACCACTTTGCCGACTACCAGAACGGATTCGGAGTTACCAGCCGCTTCTGGGATAGGGTTTTTGGCACTGAGCTTGAAATGGGACCTACAAAGGTCATCAAGACTACGTAAGGCGGGGAATTTGAGAAGAATTCTGTTATTAGACATGTACGCTTTTAATCACATTGTGAAGACTGCATTGGGAGGCGTTCAAGCGGATTCCACAAGACCATTTTGGGTCGGTCACATCGCTGGCTTACGGATTTCCGACGTTAATGTCCTTCTCTACGAACACTAGCACCAATAATAGTAATGCTCACCGGATCACCCTTCCTCGTTTCTCATTGATTCCTTGTGCACTTGTGTACGTGACAGCGGCCAAAGCGCGCATGCACACGTGAATGCGGCTTCTAGCGTCACGCTAAAGGCAGATGCGTGCCAAGCCCCCGCCAACTTTTCAAAGTCGCAGCGGCCAGCCCAGCTCCCGTTCTCCACCTCACTCAACCACAACGAATCTGTGCGCAACAACACGAACAAGTACACGTTTGTTGAGTGCAGTCCAACCAAGCAAGCAAGGTATCCCTCAGCGATAGCTCTTAGTAGCAGCTGAGCATCCGCCCAACATCTCAATTGAGTCCAGCACCCGACAAGCAACTAACAACATGTCAACCTCGGCAGCCGTGGACGCGCTCCTTGAGGAGACTGCCCGCGAGATCGAAACGAAGGAGCGGGAGCGCCAGTCAAGCAGTGATGTGCGGTCAAACGATGGTCGCCGCCCTGACCGGGAGCGCTATAGTGTGAGCCGTCGTGACCGGCGTTCGAGGAGTCGAGACCGTGGGGATAGGAATCGTGAGTCTAATGGAGATAGGCGTCGGAGTCGCGATAGGGAGCATGGACCGAGGGATGGAGGCCGTCCTAGATCGAGCAAAGGTGCTGACACAGACGAAGACCGTGATAGGTACCAGCGCAGCAGGTCCCGCGACCGACGCGGAGGACGTGGCCGTGACCGCGGTGACTTTTACAGCGGTGGTGGGCGCCCGCGTTCTAGGTCGCCTCGTCCAGACCGCAACTACAACCGCTACCGTGAGAGGTCCCGAGACCGTCGCCGCAACAGCAGTGAGGAGCGTCGCCCAACTCGCCGTGTTCAGACGCCTGCAGAGCCAGAAGTCACCGAGGACGACCGCGATAAGCGCACTATCTTTGTGCAACAGATCTCCCAGCGAGCAGAGACCCATCACCTCCGCAATTTCTTCGAACGTGTTGGACCCGTTATCGAGGCTCAGATTGTCAAGGACCGAGTTACCCTCCGTTCCAAAGGGTAAGTACTCCCCATGTCTGCTCAAGGGAAAGTACGGATGCTAATATGCTCTTTAGTGTCGGTTACGTCGAGTTCAAGGATGAGGAGTCGGTGGCAAAGGCCTTGGAACTAACCGGTCAGAAGCTCAAAGGTGTGCCAATCATTGCGCAGCTCGCTGAAGCAGAGAAGAATCGTGCTGCTCGACCTTCTGAGGGTGGAGCTGCACCTGGTGCAAACGGTGCGCCTTTCCATCGTCTGTACGTTGGTAACATCCACTTCAGTGTCACCGAGGGCGACTTGAAAGAAATCTTCGAGCCATTCGGCGCTTTGGAACAGGTCATTTTGCAGCGAGACGAGGCCAATCCTGGCCGCTCCAAGGGTTATGGTTTTGTCCAGTAAGTGACTACTATTTGCTTTGCTTAGGATGTCCTCTAATGTGTATATAGGTTCGTCGATCCTGCTAACGCAAAGAATGCCTTAGCTGAGATGAATGGTTTTGAGCTAGCTGGTCGCCAGATTCGTGTTGGACTAGGCAACGATAAGTTCACACCGGAATCAACGGCTAACCTTTTGCGTACCTTCTCCCAACAGGCCCAGTCTTACCAGGGCTCTGCTTTCAGCGGAGCTGGTGGACGTGGAGCCTATGCTGGTGGAAGCGGAGGAAACTTTGATCGGACACATGCAAAGGACGACCGTGGTGTGAGCGGCGCTTCCGCCTTAGATGATACTGATGTGGCCGGCGTCAACTACAAGACTTATGACCGTTCTAAGCTCATGGATGCTCTTGCTCGCCGCGACAACGGAGAACCCGCTAGGGGTGCACAGCCCGTGATCAACAAGCCACGCGCCCCCATCGTCGACAAGCCAATGGCTTCCAAATGTGTCAAGATTGAAAATGCTTTCGATGCTGACGAGTATGTACATGTTCCTTTCATATGTATCTTTGCTAACATCTCCCAGGGAACAGCGCAATGTTGGCAACAACTGGGTCAAAGAGCTCGAGGTTGAAGTCAAGGCCGAGTGTGAGAAGAAGTACGGCAAGGTTGTTCACATCGCTGTTGATTCAAACAGTGATGGGGAGATATTTGTCAAGTTTGATTCGGTCACTGGAGGTGAAAAAGCTCTTCAAGGTCTGAACGGTCGTGGCTTCAACAACCGCCGCATCCGCGCCTCGTTCGTTGTGGACAAGATCTACAACTCCTTGTGGGGTGCTGCTGCAAGCAAGTTCTAGTCGACTGGTACGTAAGACGACTGTTGATGGGTACCCGGCTCTCACCCTGTCGAGTTCCCAGACTACTTATGTGTACAGCATCGTCTACAGCATCGTCAGCGGCTCTTGCAAGCGTTTCACACAGCTCACTCTTCGGTTTACTTCCATCGGTCACTCGGCAAGCTTTGAAACAATTGGTACGTATGCATGGTGTTCGTGGAATGGATACGGGTTTCCTACTTCTTCTCTTGTCTTGCTTTTCTTGGGCATAGGTCTTTTGACTGTGTCGGCGAAACGGATGGCGTCAGTTTCTTGACGGATGACATGGGTGGGAAATTGTTTCAGGTGGTTGGTGGAGTGAGAAACGGTTCAGATGGATGGAAGATGGATTATAGCTCACACTCAGGTGCAGCTATTTGCAGGAAAGTGTTTTCATCGGTACGTCGGTGATGGACCACGACCTGGCTCAGATCTTACACTGGTGTCATAGGCTCCTCACGGACCACCGCAACTCGACGAAATCGCAATTGCGACATGAATTAGGAAGCGGAGGACTCATGGCTGCTAATAGCACATAGGATCAGCTCGTCTCTTCCATTCACTGGATGACTTGTCTGCCAATAATCATGTGTTTAGAAACTTTTGGACCGTCCATACCCTGGCCTTGATGTGGAGAGATGGATGTGTGATGGGTGGCTTTACATTGCCTGCGGTTTGACCCTCTCCATTGCTGACCACCTCGCCTGACGTCGTGACAGGTACCAGTGGCTTTGCTCTCTTCTCATGACTAACTAGGACTATCGAACCCGTGCCTCTCCCTATTCCCGCGCATCCATCGCCACCTTTGGTTGACTACTTAGCAGGAATCTCACTTCACACTGCATCATACACCCCCAAAGAACAAGCTGTGCCAACTACAGTTCCTTAATCGCCGTCTCAATTGCACCGTTCCCTGTCAACCATGATGGCTGAATCCAGGGATTTGACTGGAGTTGCCCAAACATAGTCATGTGGATGTGGTGCTATCATTTGTATATGCTACATACAGCTACATGCACTATGCCTTACAAGGCGGGAGAGTTTGGCAAACATCTTTCCACATATTCAATGCCGTGAAATGGAGCCGGGCTGCAACCCACTACTCAAGGTGGCAATGCTCAAAATCGCGCTTCATAGACGTCTCATTGGCGTCTACTTCAAGCCATTGTGTAGACTGATGAGGAAAACTTTTCAATGAGGTGATCAGCATGTATTGGCGATATCACGTGGTAGCAGCCAAAAAACTGCATGTGGTATCACATGTACGTAAGATTGATTTATGTCCAACTTTGCCCATTTTGGTCAAGTCCTGACCAGTAGAACCGAGGGTTGCTTCTATCATCACCTTCTTAAAGGCACAGAAGTCTACCATTCTATCAGTTTGTTCATGTTCATCTCCAAGAAATGTGTCCTGATCAATGGTATGTCTGCTGATCTAGCGTTGTCAACTGGATGTTACAAACTCCTCCATTAACACACCTACATTGGTGTTGTTCTTGTTAACACTAACCTTTGACTTTGATGTCTATGAGTTAGTTGACTAAGTCTTCCATCTTAACGTCCTTATCTTGTCCCTCGTCCCCCTTCTTTACCTTGATTAAGGCGTTTCCACTTGCATCTTCTTGGCCCTCTACCTCTTTCTCATACATCCTATCCTATCACATCATCCTGCATCTCCCAATTCTCCGCTGTCTTCCTATCTCCCTTACCCATCTTCTACTCCGCTTGCTCACCCTGTTTCCCTAACCCCTCTACATACTTGTACCGAAAACTTCCTACTATCCCCTTACACATCCTCTCCTCTTCCCCACCGCCTTAAAAGCCCTCATATATGTCTACAGCTGCACATTACTCTCCATATCATTTGTTACCCCCGCCCTCTTCCGCGTCTATTCCTCCAGGAACCGCGTGTATTAGCATCGAACGTGGTCTTCGATGCATACGGGGCAGATGAAAGGTGTTGGTTTTGGCGCGTGAGATGGATGATGGAGTTCCGGTTTAAGGGTGTAGAGGGGAGGGGGGCTGTTGGGGTGTAGGAGTGGGTGGGGATACTAGGAGTTGTGTGCAGATTTAGGACTGGACAGAAAGATGGTGTATACTTGGAATACTTTGCATGATAAGACTTCTTCAAGTCCTTAGGCACCTAAGTACTGCCACTCGATGCGTTTTCTGATACGACATCTTAAACACACATGCATGTGTTTGACAAATAAGCTAGTACACCGGTAAATAACTCAAAGACTAGTTATGATGAAGGAAAGAGAATTCTGATTATGTTAAGAAATTCTGAATCTTTACAAATTCTACCATATAAGGATTTTTTTCCCTTTGACTGGATGTCCTTGAATCAAGCATGAATAAAGATGCTGCTACTGTCTGCCTTGTATAGAAGTGGACATCGAAGCGAGTGAAAGTGAAGGTGGCTCGGGTGGTGCTGTTGCTATTGTAAAAGCAAGGCTTGCCATTCACTTCTTCAAGTCTGTGCGCGCGGCCTTTATACCATTTTCGGTATTCACGCATGCAACACCAGTATTTCAACTTGCATCACATTCGACACCTCTGATTGCACTAGCTTGCGCCTGCGAGATTACAAGCACCTATCCCTATAAGCACCATCAACATACTTACTCAGCTCGACCACTTCCACAGCGCAACTAGCAACACTCCCGACAAGCAAGTCTTCCATATACCTGTCCAGCCCTCTCAATACACAAACTACACCACCGCAATAGCGAACTCAGCCCTCACAAACGCCTTCGTATCTAAATTCGCCACCAAACCCCAAACCACCTTCCACAACCGCATCCACGAAACCCTCAGCTACCCGAAAATCACAATCACCACACCAGACACAAACTCGTGCCTCAGCCCTCACACTGAGAACGAGCACATCCTCTCCTGCCGCCACGCCATCACAACCCAGACGCCAAACGAGGCCTGCGTCCCAAACTGCCACCACGTCGCCATGCCCGTCGCCGCCGGCCCAGGAAAAGAAGCCAAACCCGCTGATCACGTTTCCGACAAGGAATTCTACTGCGACGCCTGTATCGAAACCGCCAACGAAACCCGTATCCCCACAAACGTCAGCTCAATGGAAGCGAATCGTCTAAGGGTGTCTATGCGCAAACAGCAGGTGATGAGCAGGGGGAAAGAGACAAACTTCCGGAAATGCCATATAGCTATGGTGCTTAGCTCTGTATCGGTTACTAGCAAAGGGACGTTGCTGCAGGGTTGTAAACCGAGGAAGGAGGCGCATGTGAGGAATTGTGTGCCGCAGGTTGGGGAATTCTTCTTTGAGTGTTTGGAGGAGGAGGATGATGATGAGGAGGTTAGTGAGGATGAGGCGGAGGAGGCTGACAAGGGGCCGCCTCATATGAAGATGTCATCGCAGGCTGTACCGATACCTGTTTCAGCGCCACAGGCTGTGAAGAAGACGGGTGCGGTTGGCGAGAAGGAGACGCAGGGTGCGAAGCGCGAGCGGGATGAGGGTGATGCACAGGATGGCCGTCAGGGAGTGAAGCGGCAGAAGATTGTGCCGAAGGGTACATTGTCTAAGCCTACGGGTGCCGGGAAGCCGCCAGCACCTCAGCGGAAAGCGGGAGAGAAGTGGATATAGGTGTGTGAAGGACTTCGCGATCTTGTTATGATACCTAAAATAAATGGCTTGATGACCTCCCGGCTCAGACATTATTTCCCAGATTTGGGGGTCTGGGAGTGGTGAAGGATACCTGGCTGGGGCTTAGAAGGCGGCGTCATGATGTCTGGGATAGGCTGATGGACGACAGGCTTAGCTTTTCTGGGGCTGTATAGAATATTCTAGGGTGCTGTGGTGTATACTGCGGTAGTCTTAAACATGTGAAATGATAAGAACTCTGGATTCATTCTAAGATTGACTTTTACGTGCTGAGGAGAGGATCTTGCATTTCACATTGCAATACACAATCATAAAAGAGGAGAGTGTGATATATTACAATGATACATTCTATGGGGGCGTGATGCGACGCCATGGTTTATTGTGGTAATCACAGTACAGTGTAAGTGAAAAGAAAAGAAAAGGCTGTAGGCATACTCTGCTGCCATTACAAGCTGATTTTTCGCCGTTCATATGAAAAGTGAAAAAGGAAAAGAGAAGAGAGAAGAGAAAAGAGAAAAGAACCCCCATACCCAACCGAGCGTCCAGTACGCTCTGAAGAATCCTAACAAACCAGCTTTGTCGTATGTGCTACATCAACACATCAACGCGCGGCTCATGCCAAAGATCAAACATCCCCCGAACCCACCTCGTACTCATCTTCATACTGCCCACTCACATCCATCTCACCATCCCAATCATCCCACTCATCCTCACACCCCGCCGCACCGACTTCAGCAGCCAAACGAGCACACCGCTCGTCAGCCCAACGTTCATCCGCCTCGAGAGCGAGCTGCGTACCATTCGTGTACGCCTCGGTAAACAGAGCAGGACGAGAAGGCGCAAGACCCATGGCCATCGCCGAACCCACCGCGGGTTGAGTATCCGACCCAGACGCCTGGGTAGCACACAAAGCGGGTATGAAAGACTGTGCCAGTGGGGAAAGCGGCGGCGTTGGCTTCCCGTTTACAGCACCGCTGTTGCCAGCGAGACCATACGGGTTCCTCGATGCCGTGAAACCGCCTATGTTCGGTACCACAACTGCTATGATATCCTCGCCTGTAAACGGCGGCGGTGTCTGAGGAGCAGTACTACCACCCGCAGCCAGATTGTTCGCAAAGTGTTTTTCGTTCTTGCAAATCTCGCATACCTGCGTTCGCCATCGGACGCTGCGCTTAAAATTTGCGTCGCCGCACTTGTAGTGTAGCCAGCCGATCGGACAATCAGGTGTGTTGCACTGCACGATGCGGACTTCGTTCGTTTGCGCGGGTTTGTGGCAGATGCAGATGATGTCGTCTTTGTTGGGAACGCGTGTGAGGGAGGCGAGGTATTCCTGTTCTGAGACACCGGGGGCAGGGTTTTGGGTGGCTGGGGCGCGGCGGAAGACGGGAGCGAGGTGTGGTTGCGGTTTAGGTGAGGGCTTGGGCGGTGAGCTGCCTTGTTCGGGTGTAGTGCGGTTCGAGAGGTCGGATGGGACATTGCTGAGAGGAGATGAGTTGGAGTGCGCTCGTATGCTGGCTTCTCCGTTGCCGTCGAATGGAATGAGTGGGTGGAGATCTTGGTTTGACAGGTTGGGCGGCACTGAGCCGAGCCCTGATGAGCCATTTGCGGGACTAGTACTTGCGTTGCGCTTAGGTGTGGAAGGGCCTGCCTCGTTCACGTCTGTGGCAAACTCACCGACCTCTCCTAATATTCTCAGCATTTTTTTCGTTAATCTTTTCTCGATGCAGGACTTGACGTAGCTGCAGAAGGCGAGGGTATTGATGTCACAGCCTTCTCCACGCTTGAGAGAACTGAAATCCGGTATGCTGCCTTTGGTAGCACTGCTGCCTAGTTTTTTGTAGTCTTCTTCTTGTGTGTTTTTCTCGTGCGTGGCGGAAGCGGTGTGGTTGACGCAAGCCGTGGTTGGCGATTGGCGGTTGGGAAGCGGAGTTTGGAGAAAGGAATTAGAATTGGGAAGTGAAACAGCGATGTAGTTCGTACGCACAGCCAGCTGTGCAGATGTGAAATCGTTGTTGCGTGATGTATCGTCCACTTCTGAGAAGTGCTGTGGGCGCAACGGCTCTTTGCCTTTCACTGAGGAGCCTTTGAGACTGTCTTCGGCCGTACGGCCAGTTGCGTTTTGCGTGACAATATTGAGTCCGTCAATTGACAGCAGACGATGAACAAGCGAACTCTCGTCGTGTGTGTCAGGGCTGCTACTATCTCGCTGATCGTACATTTGAGCATTGGACTTTGGACGCAGAATGGGCGGCATGAGCAGCATGGGAAGTCGAGCATGAGCACGCTTGTAGGTCAATTCATCAATGACTTCCCAAGCCTCTTTACACCTCTTGTAAAGTTCTCCTAAGCAGTCTGTGCAGTAAGATCGCAATTCTTTAGGTATAAGTTTCTTGACATACTGCGTCCACACAGGATCATCCATCAAAAACCCGTTGCGGCGAAAAGAGGGCACAGCTCCTGGATCTATAAACACATCGTGAGCCTCTGTGAGTGTGCCCCAGTTGAGTAATGGTTCGACGGTGATGATAGCGATGCGTTTGGTCTGTTCCGGACAGGCTCGGTTGCTGCATATCTTCTTTGAATCGTCCTCGACCACGTAGATGAGGTCCTTGACTGCCAAAATTAGTGGAATTCCATGTTGCTTTTAAGGTATCGTACCTGTCATCGTGGTCTCGATGTATTGCACGTGCTCCGCCATGCATTGTGCATCTCTCCAGCGATATCCTTGAGTGGTGGCAGGAGGTTGCGATGAATTGGAACCCATGGCGCTTGGGCCAGACATATGTCTCCAGAGTAGCGTTTGCAGTTCACGCAAATCATGGGGTTCCATGTCGGGGTGAGGAGGATAGGCTCCCCAGGCTTCAAGGTGCTTGCGAAGAGATTCTCTATTTGTTTTACCGACCAGAGGGAACCTCATATGGGTACTAAATCTGTCAACCTGGCATGTGTACATACCGTGGGCGGCCAGCATAGACCAATCGAGAGCCATATTAGTGTGGAATAACTCGTCCTGCGAGTCTTCACGCGGTAGCGAAATGGTGAATGCACCGTGGGTGGACTGAAGATGCCCCGCAATCTATAGACCCCGATGCAAATCGTCGCGTCGTGGTAGTAAACAAAGCGCGACTGCGCGAGTGAGTACAGGGTGTAGGTGGTGCCAAGACTCCACCTCGCAGCAGAACCAAGGGTAACTCGACGTGGCGGGACCAGCTGCCCAACGGCTTGATAGAATATTGGTGTTTGCTGAAGTAGAATTTTAGGGCGAATAGTGGTAGCGACGGTTCACTAGTAGACACACGAGAAATACATGGATCCATTGAAGCCGTATACACGAAGAAGCGCATAATGAAATGGAAGCGAAGAAATGTGATTCCGAGAATTCGAAAGTGGGAAAAAAGACGTTGAGCTTTTTCGTGATTTGATACCTACAGTAGCTTACCGCAATACACCAGAAAGACGGGTAGTCTGCTAATCTGCTCAACGTGTTCGTGATGAGGCTGTCGAGCGATATTGCAAATTATGATGGCTAGAAGAAGGAAATTGGCTGTGAGGACCTTGGTGTCTACGAACGAACCATAGTTTGATCAAATGCCTCATATTCACACGTGGTGAGGTGTAATGCGAATTCAATCCAGACGCAGGGGCCGTAGCTTACTGTCGTTTAAGCACTTCGCCCTCGTTCATACGATAACGTTGACTGGATTACCTATCGCCCATGCTTCCACCGTTTCTTTCAACATATGTCCGAGATTCTTGACCGCCCTCTGGGAGAACCAAGCTAGATGCGGGCTCATGGTAATGTTCAAGTCCCTGGTATCTTCTTCCAGTAGTGGCGTATCCTCTGGTCCGCCAACAGGCTCGACCTGATATACGTCGGTGGCATAGCCGGCTATCCGCTTTTCTTTGAGCGCCTGCACTACGGCGGCCTCGTGCACTATGCCGCCTCTTGATATGTTGATCAAGACAGCATAAGGGTGCATCTTAGCGAGCTCAGCAGTAGAAATGAGATTTAGCGTTTCGGAGTTCCGGGGTAATGATAGCACCACAACGGTCGACTGACGGAGAACGTCATCGAAAGGAATGCGATCATCAGCCATGTTCGGTGCTGGGAGGCCGTCGCTCTGCAAAGGGGCAGCGGGCGTCTTGCGACTCGCGATCAGGACACGCATGCCCATAGCTTGACCTAGAGCCGCTATCCTCTTGCCTATCTCCCATCAGCTCTGGGACCCACACCCAAATTGGGATAAACGTACCCAGACCCCCATATCCGATAACACCCATGACTTCGTCTTTGCAAGTGATGGGGGGCGTACCATCCGGTAGACGCATATAGTGATTGACGCTGCCTTTGCTCTTCCACTCACTCGGCTGTGTACGCGTTATGCGGTCCAGCAACACGGTGCGCCGCCTGGCAGCAAAGTACAGACTAAGAGCATGTTCCGAAACGGCGTCGAGATTAGCGCCTGGACAATTCGTCACTCGTATGCCTCGTGCCCGGCAGGCATCAAGATCGATGAGGTCTGTTCCCGTTGCAGATACGGCAATGTAGCGCAGGTTGGGTGTGACAGACGGGTCAAGTGCTTCGGCATCAATCTTTACAATGGTGACGATTATAATGGTAGCATTGCGGATGCGGGCGAGAAGCTCTTCACGAGTGCGGGTAGAGTCATACGTGGTGAGGCTGTAGGTGACGGTGGGCGGGAAGTCGAAACCGGCAATTGGAAGGGGCTGATGTTGAGCTTCAAGCGCGACAATCTCGTGATGCATGACAACGTTACACAAGCCTCATATGTGCGACCGAATGTCACTCTATATGTATCTTGTTTTGATATCAATCAAACGGATTCCCCCCACCCGCCATCCGTCTGGTCGCCCCGGCCGGCATTGCCGCATCAAGACCCTCTCCTCTGGAAGGGCGGGGAAGGGACGAGCCTCGCGCAGGGCCAGCTGAACCAGGTCTGCAAACCACCTTTTTCAGCACCCCCTATCTGAAGGGTGCTTGGTCTTCTCCACCTCTGCCGTTGCAATTCCCTGTGGTAGCGACTGGTCCTGCAGCACGCGACCAATACGCCGGAACGATGCCATGAAAACGGATCGTGTGCCGAAGCTGGAAGTGCGCCAAGCCCCAGCTAGCTCAATGACACCTTCGGTCTCGCCTATTGGCTGCGGGCAGCTTCAACTGGATTGAATTGTTGCCAACGCGAATTGCCATTGCTTATTGCTCACCCCACACGTTCACCCCAGCGCGTATTCGGTACATTTCACGCAACAAGTTCAGTAACGTTACATTACAAGGTACCCGGCCGGCCGCTTCTATCGGTTCATCCCCGGCAGACCAACTCCAAGGCTTCCAGCTTCCAGCTTCTGCCCCACTTCTAGAAAAAAATCTCGACATGCAAGCGGGTTGCGGCGGAGCGCGGGTACGTTAGGGCGTGGTTTCCGCGCCCTCGGTGATTTTCTCGGCGCACTTAGAGACGCCTATCTGGGCCTCTAGCTCCAGCATTGGACAGCCACGTTCGGCATCCGCTTTGCCATCTGAAGTTGGGGTGGGTAGCCTGCCATTAGCCTTGTCACTGACTTGCCTCCAAACTTACTAGCCGCACTGGACCATGCGCCAACTGACGTGCCTCTGCAGCCCTTCAAAGCCTGCGCTGATCCGCCTGGGAGCATGTCACAGAGCTTTGCTTTGCGACAGCTATCCAGGTCCCTTTCTCCCCCAGGCCACAAGTCCCAGGACGAAAGCAACACGCCCCTCATGTCAGACTACCGGTACGCGACCCAGTCGGATGCCTATGCCGCCGACCACGGCCATGTCCTGCGTAACGGCGGCGTCGATACAGAGACCAAACTGGCAAACACCTACTCTGGAGAGGATGCCACCCGCCATGACCCCGACAACCTCCTCGCCGCCATGGGCTACAAGTCCGAATTGGTGCGCTCAAGATCTACCCTCCAGGTCGCCTTCATGTCCTTCGTCCTCGCTTCCGTCCCATATGGTCTGGCAACAACCCTCTACTACCCGATTGTAGGAGGGGGTCCTACCTGCATCATTTGGGGTTGGCTAGCTGTGTCGCTCATCATCCTCTGCGTTGCCGCGTCCCTTGGCGAAATTACGAGCGTCTACCCAACCAGCGGTGGTGTCTACTACCAGACCTTTATGATTACACCGCCCGCTTATCGGAAGATCGCCTCGTGGATCTGTGGTTGGTGTTTTGTAGTTGGCAACATTACCATTACTCTGTCCGTCAACTTTGCTACCGCCCTCTTCCTTGTCGCCTGCGTCAATGTCTACGAAAGCGCTCCCGGTGTGGGCATCATTGAGGGGTCAGCTTACCAGGTCTTCCTTATCTTCCTTGGCATCACACTCCTATGCAACGCAATCTCTGCCTTTGGAAACAAGTACCTCCCGTGGCTTGATGTGAGAAAACAACCCCTAAAACAGCTGCCGAACGCGTCAAACTTACAGACATTCAGACATTTGCTATTTTCTGGACCTTTGCTGGTGTGCTTGCCATAATCATATGCATCCTTGCCATTGCGAAAAACGGCCGCCGAAGCGCCGAATACGTCTTCACTGAATTTGACCCCTCAAACTCTGGCTGGGTTCCCGGATGGTCCTTCATGGTTGGTCTCTTACACGCAGCCTACGCGACTTCTTCGACCGGAATGATCATTTCGTGAGCCTCCCTTTTTTACTTATGCCCAAGCAACCTGAAAGGCGATTATCCTCAGCCCATATGCAAACCTCCCGAGCGACCTTTCTCCCATGCAGCCTTTTTTTTTCCTATGCGACAATCCCAAGCAACTTTACTCTCTCCATCGCGGCATATCACGTGTCTACATGCGGTAAAGTTTGAAATCAAGTCGACCAACTGCTAACGTATCATGTAGTATGTGCGAAGAAGTACGTGAGCCAGCCACTCAAGTGCCCAAGGCCATGGTAGCTACCGTTGCCTTGAACACTGTCGGCGGTCTACTTTTCCTGATTCCTCTGGTCTTCGTCTTGCCCGACCAAGCCATGCTCGCAGCTCTTGCCTCAGGACAACCCGTACCCGTCATCCTCCGCGATGCCGTAGGATCGTCCGGTGGAGCCATGGGTCTACTCGTCCCTCTACTAGTTCTCGGTCTGCTCTGCGGTATTGGTTGCACAACTGCCGCATCCCGCGCTACCTGGGCCTTTTCCCGTGATGGCGCCATCCCCGGTTACAAGCTATGGAAGAAGGTCAACCCCAAGCTCGATGTCCCGCTCAACGCTATGATGCTTAGCATGGCTGTCCAGCTTATCCTTGGTCTCATATACTTTGGTGCTGCTGCTGCTTTCAACGCCTTCTCTGGTGTTGGTGTTATTTGCTTGACGCTCAGTTACGCTGCTCCCATCTTTGTCTCGCTTTTCACGGGTCGCAAGCAGGTCAAGGAAGGCGAGTTCCATCTCGGACCCCTCGGCACTTTCTGCAACGTCGTTGCTCTTGGTGAGTTTTGGATTCATTACACTGTTGCTAATGACAATTTGCTAATACAATCAACAGCCTGGTCTGCCCTTGCAACCCCCCTCTTCTGCATGCCCACATTCAAGGCCGTCACTTCCGCAACCATGAACTACGCTGCTGTTGTACTTGCCGCCGTCGTCCTCATCTCGACCATCTGGTACTTTGTCTGGGGAAAGAAGAACTACGAGGGCCCGCCCACGCACGAGGATGCTGTCCTCGAAGCCAGGAGGGCTAGCGTTGCGAGTCGTTAAGAAAGTTTCAGAGTCACCCTCAATCAACATCAGAAATGAAAGAGAAAGGCTGTCGACGCGTGTGTTTATTTTTGAATGTTGCCTTCACAAGCGCAACTCTGATACCCACAATCCCATCTTATTTCACAAGAATGCTTTTTCGTGTGCCAAATCCGTGATGTTTAAACATTTCGTGACCCAAGCCCAAATCCCATACTCGCGATCCTGTTTTATCTATTACAAGAAATTCTTTCGTCTGCATTTCATACGATACATATTATAGAAGAAACATTTCCGTCTGCTCTGACACGTAATAGCTACCACACACGCACAGAGATACACGCCCATGACCCTATCCTACCTAAACTGACGACGAGACATCCATCCCTTTGAACTGCTGCTTCTGTTGCAAAACCATACTCTTCAACCTCTGCTCCGCCAAAGACTGCCGCTCTTGCTCCTTCTCATTCGCCAATCCACCTCCAACTCCACCTACACCTACAACACCAACACCAACATCATCACCACCACCATCTTCGCCAAACCCATCCATACCCATAGACGTACAAAAAGAACTACCAACCGGCGCAGCAGTTTGAGGTCTTGAGATGAAACTCATCATCCTCGTTGTGTTTGGTGTACCAGATGATGTGTGAGATGTAGGAGCGACGGTTTGCATGGCAGGATCTTCTTCTTCGTCATCGTCGGGGGGATTGTTGCTGTCGGGGTGGTGGTAGTTCCCGTCGTCATCACCATCATCGTCGTGTATACAAAAGAACACAGGGTCGTAAACTTCGAGGTCTTGTTGAGGAGGTTCAACCTCGCTGAGAGGAGGACGAATAGCTTCGCGACGAGCCAGTACGAAAGGGATGTCTGGACGTGGACGGATGGGCGTGGATGTGTATACAGACGGTGGTGTTGCATCTCCGTCTCTGTTCTCATCCTCGAGGGCACTATTACCCCTCAGCGTGAAATGTCTACGCCAACCCTTCTTCTCTCGCTTCTTCTCCCACTCCCACTCACCATCAGAACCCCCATCAAACAACTTAGCCACCGGATTCCGACTCCGTCCAAGCACACTCCTTCTCTTCCCCAACCGCCCCGTCGTCGTCGGTGTCAGGGAATCCGCTAGTAAACTCCTGCTTTCCCCTCCCCCACTCCTCCTACTCTCCCCACCACTTCCCTCATACCCAAGCCCAGCCCCCGGACCAAGAAACCCCTCCCCAGACCTCGCCTTCCCACCAGACCGCCCCGTCTTCACTGACAACGTAACAGTACCAGAATGTGTGATAACAGGTTTTTTATGCTGGATAACGGCGGGGGGCTCGAGCGTGGGTGAAGGCATGGTGAGGGCGGCATCGTAGTCGATCCAGGGGGCGACCTCGCGGATTTTGATGTCAGGGATTTTGTTGGACGCGGTGTGGGCGCTGCTGGTGTTTGAGGGGGCGGGGCTGGGGTGTGTGTGTGGGTCGCTGGGGGAGGAGGTGGTGGTGTTGTTGTCGGGTTTGGCTTGGTTGGTGACGATAGTGGCAGTGGTGGTGCGGTTGGGGTGTGTGGGGACGGTGAGAGTGGCATTTCTAGGGATGGAGGATGGGGGGTCGTTTGTGGGAACGGTTTTAGGGGAGACGACTTGGTCGCGGTTTGGGTGGTGGGTGTGGGCTTCGTCGTCGAAGTGGAGGTGTTTGAAGATACCTCTGCGGGGCGTGCTGGGTACAGGGTCGGCTTGGGTGGGCTTGGAGATTGGGAGTAATGGTGGCGACGGGACAATGGGAGGGGCAGCTTTGACCGTGGCTTCGTAGTCGGTTCTAATGGGTGGTGCGCTGATTTGTTTCTGTCTGATGTCGCGGGTTGCCCTGCGGAGGCGCTTGTACTCTTGATAGTCGTCTACTTCGGTTGCTGTGGGTCGCTTGGTGACTACTTCCATAGGCACTGAGTCGGTACGTTCAAATCTCACGTCGAAGAGAATGTCGCCTTCTTTCCAGTGTCCGCCGGCCAAGTCGGTGCTTTTTGCTTGTTTGATGGACCAGCCTTTGACGCTGTACCTAGGAGGTATGAGCAGGTAGGTCACATGTCGGATGTGGTGACTTACAGTCCATCATATCTTACACCAGCCTTTGGACCCCAGACGCTGTTGATGCTGTGGCTACGAAGGACTCGGACAGGATCTCTGCTCTTCGGCGTTGCGGATGTAAGTCTGAACTTGCCTTTGTCGTTCTGTGGAACTCGATACGTGAAGCGGTCTTCTGAGCTGGCTTCGATCTCGCCCGTATCTTTGAGTAACAGGGCGTATGCACCGTGCTTGTCGTACGTTGTACCGCCTTCACATGCTTCAAGCCCAATGATACCAGCGTGGTGCGCGAATAGAGAGTTTATCCACCACCTGCAGAAACAATCAGCACGAAGTGAGTATTGCGTATTACCATACTCACGAGCCAGCCGTGAATCCCAAGTCGCCTAGTCTGTGAGAACGTTTGGGATGAATCTTATCAGGACAAGTCCTTGCCCATCGCTTGAGCAGTGCCTGCAAACACCGTTATCTCGAGAACGACGAGAGTGATGTATCCACATACCTCACGAGAGTGTTCGTGGATACTAGAAATACCCTCAAGCCGCCCACCCCTCCCATACAAAAAAGGATGAATATCACTGAAGCTCCCAAACCTGGCAGTCCAGATATCAATAATCTTGTCGCAGTCATCACACAACCGACCAGGCCACCGCGTCGCCACACCAGCAAGTTCTCGGACAGCGATGTGAATGCCAGTGGCTCGCAAGTCGGAAACGGTAATGTTCTGTGCTTGGCGAAGGGCAATGAACGTCTCGTGTAGGGTCACGACGTCATCGGGACGTAGTATGTCGGGTCCTTCGCGGGCTACGAGCAAGTCGAGCTCATCGCGGATCCATCTGGCAATTTGCTTGAGTCGGGTACGAGAGAGATCAGGATTAATAGGGGGAGTTGCTGTTGTTGTGTGGGTGCGAGTAGTGGACGAGGTGAGTGGACTTGAGATGCTCGACTCGCCTGCGTGAGCCATCTCGTGCACACTGATGCGTTAACGGAGGTCAAAGCATAGACGATGGGAGTGGTGCTTTATTCCAATGCATTTGCAATAAAAGGATTTATGGGGGGCTACAGCAACGACTGCGTAAGGCGCAGTGAAAGGGTTGTTGTTGTTATGGGCGCATGGTCCTAAGCTCCTTTCCATCAGGAGGTTACGGCGCAATCGTACTTGCCAAAGTAGATACGCAACAACTGATTGCACTTTCGCTGTTTATTACTTAGTGTTTCCGCTTCTTGTTCTTCCATTTTCCTGAGCTTGTTACTGCCAGTACCTCCACGTGATCTACCTCTTCAACTACCTCATCATCACTGAAGCCATTCCATTCGTCGTCTTCGTTCACTACAGCTTCCATGATTTGTGTCGGGTCTGAATTGCCTTCTCGAACAAAGGCAGCAACGAAGAAGCCCATTGTACCCTCCTCTGTACCTTTGTCACAGCGAATGCACGCTTCCAATACGTCCCTCTTGAACGATTCATCTGGCTCATTGTCGAGCTTTTCGTCCTCCCAAGCCCCGCGTCTATGCCACTGTTGCAAGCCGGTTACCTGACTCTCTCTTTTGAGTATTTTCCACCCTCGCTCCTTTGCGATAGAAGATGCAAGAGCTTTGAAAACGACACCTTCGTTCTCCTCGAAGTGTATCGAGCATGTGGAATACGTGATCTTATGCGCACTCTCGAATCGCATGGCATGGGTAAGTATATGCAACTGGAAGCTTGATAACGCCGCGAGACGCTCGGCTAGTTTCCCATGCATTGGAGTCTCTTCAGGTGTAGAGTCGTCCATATCGAGGTCGAGAGTCGATGGCGCATTATCCTTGGCCACTTCTTCACCTCTTTTGCGCTTCTTGCCCTTGTCCGCCTTTGGTACAACTGCCGGTTCCGCTGGCCCTGCAGGCAAATGCATCTTGATTGCATCATCGCGCCCAACGATACCAGTACCAGAACAACTGGGATCAAGCAATATGGCACCGACATTGGAAAACTCGTCTGACCCAGGTTTCGCAGCGATGAAGTCACTGCTACCCTTGACTTGCACAATACCGTCTGCCGACGCGAGTTTAACCATCTTTTGCAAGGTAAAAGTTCTGCCCTTGTCGCGCTCAAAAGCTATGACCTTTTGCTCCTCGCCTGGTTGCTTCCGATCCGAGACAATTGCAGCCAAATGTGTTGTCTTGTTCCCTGGTGCTGCCGTGGCATCAATCACATCGCCATCGTCCGGCTTTGGGTCTAGCAAGTAGGCCGGAAAACATGATGCCTTATCCTGGAATATTATTTGACCTTTTGTGTACGCAAACGTTCTGCTCAGATCGATTCTAGACGGAAGTGCGAGTAGATTGGGAATGTTCGGGTCTTGATAGTAAATCTTGGACCTCTTGGGCGCAGACAGTACGTCCGCCAGATTTTCCGTCTTTATGAATCCTGTAAAGGTCTTGGAAAGCTGCTCTTCCAATGTTGTCTTGATGGTGTTGACGCGCACCCAACGTGGATGCCGGCTTTTGGGCGCGTCGCCTTCTTCCTTCTCGAGCTCGCCGTCGTTGACAGCAGCTCTGAAAGCATCTATAGTGGCATATCCATAGCGTATACGAGCCTTTGTAAGTTCGGCGCTGAGTCGGGCTTTGTGTCGAGTGATGGCGAGCTTAAGGACATGGCCGGCGGCGGCAGCGACGCCGCTCTTTGCTAGGAGTAGGTCGTGCGTGAGGAGAAGGGCGAGAATTGGGTTGAGCTATTGGCATTAAATTAACACATGTCTCCCTTCCAGCATGTCTAGAAACCTGCCTTTCTCTCTTCTGAGAGCAATTTGCACTTTTCAATCACATCCTTCAATACAATGGACCATTTTGACGTCTCCGCAATGAGCGCGAAGAGCTGACCGGGCGTGCTTTTCAAATCCTTCTTGTTATATATACGCGACTTGAGCGACCCGCCAACATTGTCGGCATTGGCAAGAATGGCTGCAGCTTCGTAGTAGAGTGACATCTGAGCTGTCGCATGGAAAAGAGGCCTGGAACATTTTTTTGGCGACAAAAGCCGATCGCCGATGGTTCCCCGCTCACCTCCGCGGCCATCCCATCTCTGACTAGCCTGCTTGCACTTGTACTGTCACAATATCATATGTCATGCTATAACGGGACTATAATTGGAAAATAGAAATATTATACATGTAGAATTAATCACAACTTGTGATGATGCATATTCTGCTACCCCATATGTTGACCGGTTGCCCAACCGCAACGCCATGCCATGCGTTTGGTTTGTCAAGTGAAAAGACCTCCAACTGCGCCTGTTCGTTACATGAGATATATATATATACCAGAAGGCGCCAGATTGCGCAAGTACAAAGACTGTGAATTCGTTACTGCGGATTGCACGGGTATAAATTAAATACTGTGGGCATTCGCAAAGTGGGTCACGCCTTTTTTATCCTCTCCTCGTATGCGGACCAAGCGGCCTTCCTGTACCTCTCTGCCTCTGCTACTCGGTCTTCTGCGCGAACAATGCCTCGTCCGACAATGATAATATCGCACCCTTGCTCGAAGATGAGCTTATGGGGGGTGTTGTATTGCTGACCGAGCGCATCGCCTAGCTTCTTCCCCTCCTGGCCTGGAGGTGGTAGCTGGCAACCGGGTGTCATGGTGATGAAATTGTCTTCGGGCTCAGTGTTCAAGCTGCGTTGCGCAATGAAGCCCATGACGAAGTCCCGATGGTCGCGCGCAATCTTGACAGTCTCTTTCTGGTACTCGGGTGTCATGAGGTGACCGGCTGAGCTCATTTCGGCAAGTAGCAGAAGTGATCGGAGAAAGGGTGGTGGGCCGAGATGGACGAGCTCAGTGGCAGAGTCAAGGCTGAAGACTTCTTCGGTGCCCCCGTTCGGTTCGGGACGAGGCGATATGCTCTCCGTTCGCATCGATATCGAAGTGGTGACGCTCACAACGCTGTGCTTACGGTCCTGAGCCTTTATGCTCAACCGCCTCTCTTCGCCCTCCATCTCGATTGGAGACTCGATGGCGGAATCGTTGTACGTGAAATCGTCGTCATCGTCATCATCTGCTCCGTTGGTTTGGCGTGTCGCAAAGATCTCGGTATTCACCGACGTGTTGTGTCTGGTAATTGTGGTTTCGGCAGCTTTCTCAAGTGCGGTGACAATGGCGGGACCGGGGAGTACGTGTGCGTTTGTAATCTCAGCCCAAAGCGCGATGCGGTGGTGGCCAGAGGTATATTGCTTCTGCACGGTTTCTATTGCGCATCTATTAGGGGCGGGCTAAGCAAATCATGGGGCTGGGAGTCGAGGAAAGAGCGGGTGGAGCAAGGGCATGATTCGGGCAGCAGCGACATACCACCAATATCTGCAAACTTTCGGTCCTCGAAAATCAGGAAGCACTTGCGCTTGGCGACTTCGCGTAGGGCCTGGGCCGTTCTGTCGGACCAGTCGGTGACAATGTCGCAGTGTGTCTTGAGCAGGCAAATGGAGTCGCCCACATCTTCTGCCAGCTGGATGAGCTCGGCTGAGGTTTCTACATCGGCTGAAAGACAGAGGTTTGTCTGCTTGATAGAAACCAGCCTCAGTAGGTAAGAAGCCAATGGCCCTGTTGTTGGCAGGGCTGCGCGCGCGCGGTACGAGCTGGTGAGGCTCGAATGAGAAGACATGATGTCGATCACTGAGGGATGATTGCCGCTCCTGGGCTTCAGTCTCTAAGCAAGTAGGCCCGATGTGTGTGTGGCCTTGATAAGGCTGTATTGTCGAGTCGAATGCGGGGATGGTAGGCGTTATGAGGGGTAACCGGTGGTGAAGGAAGGAGCGAAAAAACTGGAGAAGGAGCGAAGCAATGAGTGGCAGCTGCGATGGAGCGTGTTATACATACGACGCAGACACGTGAAAGGTAGCGCGGACAAGGCGCTCGAGCAAAAGTCACAACCACGGAAAAAGCTTAACGTCGGCCGTCC